AAGAACAGCCTGAATTTAAGTAGCATAGCTTCTGAAAAAGAAGGAATTTTGGAAGCAATGTACTTTCATGTTTAGTCACCCGTATCTAATGGATAGGGTATGGAAGAAAGTTCCTGCTTTCCAAATACTGTAGAAACAGCTTTCTAAGATCTTCCTCTGAAGCTGCCTGAGGCCTGTCCTGTGCTAGACAGACCATTTGTTTAATATGGCAATGTTATATATCCCATGTAGCTACATGAACTTTGATGGCAGAGTGAGCAAAGGAAGGCTGGCAAGAGAAAGTGAAGAAACGTAAACTTCTTTTGAGTGGAATAATGTTGATTTTGGGACTACTAATATGTTTTTTTTGGAGTCTGCTTCACTGCTTTCATATGTAATCAAGGCCTTGCAATCAGAATGTACATAGCTTTGTACTGTTGGGAAGGACTTGGGTAAGAGCCTGGCCACTGTTGTGAAATGGAAGATACAAACTGTAGTCATCCTTCAGTGATCTGTAGGCAGTTTACCTAAATTGTGGATTAATGAGATTGCAGGTAATACAGTTGAAGGCAATGAAATGTTTGGCCATCTTGGCTTAGCCAGGCCTGACTGCATGGGGTCTGATGCAGGGTTATCAGCTTAGTCAAGAAGAGAGCAAAAGTATGAAGCCAGCTGAACCATACTTAAAAGCCATCTTGGATGGCAGCACGAGGCACAAATGGAACATTCTACAGTCATGATGCTGGAATTAATTCATCCATCATTATGTTTATCTCTTTGCTATGGAATACCTTTAATCAACTGAGCTGGTGCATGGCTTGATCCTGTTGTTAGCAGGATTAGCAGGCTGAAGGCCTTGGCTTCAGTTCCTTGTTCTGTCTCCAAGTTATCAGGTCATTTTGGACAAGCCACTTAATATCTCACTGGCTTATTGATGTGAAGGTATTCTTCTACCTCTTCTTGGTGTTAATAGAGTAAGCATATCTTGCATAACGGAAGCAAAAAAAGTAGGCACTTTAGGCTAAGGGTAGGTTCTGCTTGCAAATGTTTTACATGTGTGCCTCTGGTAATGTCTCTGTCTTTACAAGCAGAGATCAGAGCTGGATTTGCCATCCAGCATCACAAGATGCTGTGATGAACGCCATGTATTTTTCAGTAGGTAGGATGTAAAGCAAATGCTTTTGTTTCCTGTAGGACTGGTTGACATGTCAGAGAATTAGCTTCAATCCTGTTCATAAATGCTGAGTTAAGTGCACGCAAGGGAGTGGAGCTGAGATTTCATGCTGTTGCTGGGAGCTCACCTTGTGCCATCATCAGCAAACCAAGACTTTAAAGCAGTCAGACCCCCCAACACCACACTGGTGGAACCCACATCTCAACATGGCACATCTGTCAAGCCTTGCCCTGAGAAGCTGCCTTGAAGATTGCAAATCCTTTTGTCCAGAATAGACAGCGCAATCAAGGCAATGTGTGAAAAGCTTCCCTTTGCAACCTGCACAATTACTGACCTATTCAGAGAAACCTTCCCCTTTAGCTTTCAGCTCTTCTAGACAATTTATCCTGTCTCAGCTGTCTTGCTGCATTATGTCCTTCAAACCCCCTAGAATTAACGTTTGGAACCAGCAAACACTGCTGGCTCCACAAGAGAAGCTGAGAGCGGAAAGGTCAGGTCGATTAAAGCACTTGATCAGAATCTTTAACATAAAGACGTCACAGGCAAAACAGTAACGCTACTTCACGCTCAGCTAAGAGCAAATGATTCATCAGGCAAGGCTGCTTATTTTTGGAGGGTGGCCACAAAAGAGGAGAGAACACGCTGGCTGTATCGCTCATGGTTGTAACAGGGCACTGCAGAGCCCTCCTCCACTTTTGATGGAAATTTAAAGTCGGAAATACATCACCCGATGTAAATATGTCAATAAGTGTTTTACATCGGATGGGTTTTACCAACTGAGCAGAATCATTTTGTCACTGCACAAACCTCAGAGCAGCCATTTAGAGCAAAGGGCTGTTTTGCAATGCTCTGCACAGCCTGATGCTGCTGAAGATGCAACCATTTTGTGAGGGCTTCTGTAAAGGTGGCAGGAGAAGTGGGTGTGCTCTGAAATCTCTGGTGCTTCGGCCCAGAGGGAAGACCTTCACTGGGTGAAGATGTACCAGTGTTGAGCAGGTGAGCCCTAAAGGATGCTTTTATCTGGCTTACACTGCCTCCTGTGTCCAGAAATGATTGGAAGCACTGTTCTAGCAAGAAGCACTGCCCAAGCAGCTTCATGTGCTGCCTCCATGCGTGCTCATACCTTAACCAGAGACCCCCTGCCTGCCCCCTTACAGCATCATAGTCTGTTTGCTCTTTGGCAAGAGCAGAGTGGGTCTCTGCAGTGGGAGAGGGAAGTGTTTGTACATGGAAGTGGAATGAGTTGCACTGGGAGCTGGCAGCCTGAGGAAGGGATCCAGAAATCTACCTTCAAATCCTGAGGCTGTCAAAGGGGGATAATCCTGCTCTGACACCTGCCCAGCAGCTTCCTTCCCTCCTTGTTCTCTTCTTCCTTCCCATCCCTCTCCCAGTGCTAACAAATACATGCTTAATTCATCTAATTCCCGTGGCGGATTGACATCAAGACGCAGAACTCCTCAAAGTTTACAAGACAAATCAGCGTGAGGAAAAACATGAAGCAATAGTTGAGGGAAGAAAATGCAGCCAAGGAGAGTGACTGGTGAAGAGGAGTGAGAATTCCAGGAGGAAGGATCCTTCCCCAGAGGAGTTTGTGAAGGGAGGGTGCAGAGAAGTGTCGGCATGGTGTGATGAGGCATGAGGGCTGGAGCACAAAGGAAGGTGCCACTGGAAGAGAAGGAGAGGCAAGTGGAGGTGGCAGACAGGAGCAGTTGTGCAGGATTGATGGAGCACGCTTTCAGGGTGATGAAAGCCAATTGAGGACCCTTTGGGTTGCTGAATCCTTTGGGAGTTGGTGAACAGATGATCACAGTGCTCAGCCAGCCCACAAAATGCACCTTGTGGTATACCTAAGACCTTCAGCATGCAAGACTAGGCATCGTATGCTGGATGAGACCGAGACAGCCTGATACAGGGGCTAGAGGGATGCGAGAGGAAATTACTTTAGCTGCAGTGTTTGGGATGCACTGAAGAGTGGAGATTGAAGCAGAGTATCTATACATAGAGACCCAAAGGGTCCATCTGTGTTGCATGATACTGCCTAGTGTGGAGACAGTCACAGCTTCACAGGTCTCTGTGCTTTGCTGCAGACCAGTTCTGGGAAAGGGTAGTATAACTGTGCACCTGGTAGTCTAAACAAGTTAGTTCCTTTATGGCTACTGCAAACATCTCTGCTCCACATTGCATAATGTAGGCATACGGTAAGATCTTGTCAGTAAGGACTTTAATTCAAGGCAAGCTCTGCAATGGCAAAACCATTGGCCACTAAAAGCAAAGGAATAAAAGGTGAGATGCAGAAGGAGCACTCCTGCACCAGAGGTTACGCTGTGTGAGCAGCAACGCCCCACAGAGAGAAATACTTCACATTCTTTATCCAGGCTCATGTTTTCTCTGTAATGGTCTGCTACCTTTTGAGTCAGTGCTCTCCTAATTTAGCCTGCAATATCAAGTAGTACCCAACGCACACCCTCAATCTGCAGTTGTGACTCTACCAGCCCCTCTACAGAATTAACTCAGCTCTGAATTAGTCACTCGACGTGCCAGTGCATGTAAAACAGACTCCAGTGAATCACATTTTGTGTGCAGGGACTGAACTGCAGTAAATACAGCGAGTCAGAGAATCTCAGTCTGCATCTGGGCTTCCATGTCCACAGGGATGCTCCTTCTCTGGTGGCTGCACAGCCTGTCTAAGCAGGACAGGCATGAAACTGAGATGGGAACGGAGCCCCCAGGATCACACCACACCTCCTGCCCTCTGTGGTAATGCTGATGTGGCAGCGTAAAGAATGTGAGGGCATAAAAGAGAAACCTGGGTGAGACTGGGGTAAAAAATGCCTGATGACGGTAAAACAAAAAAGACAATAAAAGCGTAAAAATGTCCTCTTGGGCTGAGCTGCTTCAGGTCCGAGTGCCCATCTAGCAGACAACAGGGAAGAGCACACACAGCATGTCAGCCTGCATTAGGCTTGCTTGTTCTGAGGAAGCTTAACCCTGCAGGCAGTGTGTCACCTGGTGATCCCTGCAAGGAGTGAGATATGCTGGAAATGCCAACTCAGAGCCCATGCAGCAGGCATCCCCCTTGCAAGCTCAGATGTAGCACCCATAGATGCCAGTGATGCAAGCAGCAAGGTGCTTATGAAGGGACGTGGTTGAGAGGAATTCATCAGCATGGAAAGGTTGAGGGTCTTGGACCTTCTTCAGCTAGAGCTGTGGGAAGCTGGCTAGGTCATTCCCTTGAGGACAGTCCAGTTGTCAGGGAAGACAAGAAAGGGAGAAAAGAACCAAAGAGAGATCTTCTTCTGATGAGGATATTCTATTGATTTTATCCCACTGTTGTTCTCCTGTGGAAGCAGCAGTGACCAGTGTGCAGCACCAGCAGTAATGCCATGCTGGCAGTATGTGTAATGTGAGGCTAGGTTGGTGAGAATTGAATTTTGATCTAGTTTCCAGCACTTCTTTTGGGATGGGACAGGGACTCATCCCAAAACCAGAAGGGAGAGATCCTGATTGAAAAGATGCGAGCTGTAATTTCACAAGATGATTTGACTCGTGTGAAATGGCTGTCAGTTGGGGCAGAGATGATGCTCATGCAGCTTAGTTCAGCACTGTCATCTGAAGTGGACCTGGAGGGCCACAAGCCTGAACTCCCAACTTTTAGCAATCTGATCTGCCAAATACTGTCTCCTCAGTCTCTTGTAGCCAAGGCAAGATCAGATGTGATCCATGTATCTACACACAGTGTTTCAGCTTCAATTATTAATGATATCCATAAGAACTGTGACTGGGCTGGTAAACTGTGGATGGGGCTGTGCACCCAAAGCAATCTAATCTGCTGTTTCTTTCTCTGCAGGGGGTGGAGGGAAACGCAAAGGCAAAAGCAAAAAGTGGAAGGAAATCTTGAAATTCCCTCACATTAGCCAGTGTGAAGATCTCCGAAGAACAATAGGTAAGAGCTTTTCCCTTATTTGGAAGTACTGCATAAATAAAACATGCTATCAGCAGAACGTCATTAAGGGTGCTCATCACTAAATGGAATCAGTTGAGAAATGGGCATGGAATGCATGTACATCCCACGATGCTGCCGTGCAAACTCAGTATTTCTGGTTCCTAGCAAGTCACTGTGCATCAGGCAGGAGAGATGGGTAAAATCCACTTGCGAGGCTTGGAGACCCTTTTCATTGCATGCACAGGATCTACAAGCCAAAGAGACTTTACATTTAGATGATACCTGCCTATGGGGCAGGTGCTTTGACTCGATACCTACCAGAACTGATGTGGCTGTAAAGGGGCATTAAGAAACAAATCCCCCCATCACATCCTGCGTTCTCTTGTAGTAAATTATCAGGGAGGAATTGAGACTTGATGAAAGCAGAGAGATTGATGATGTAGTTGAAAGTTATTGCTAATTTCAGTCTGGATGTATTAGAAGCAACAGACATTGCTCTCTGCCAGACAGGTTTGCTCAGCCGTGCCATCCTCTATTCCAGCCACAACCACAACACAACTTTATGTATTTTTTTATACGACATATAAGAAAATTTATTAACTTATTTCATCAATGTGAGCCAAACTCTGCAGATTTGGAAGGAAGCTTGCAGTGGCCATTTCCGTAACACAGCATTTTTCCTGCTCATGCCTGCCAAATTTCAGCATTCTGTTGACTGCTGCCTTGGCAAACAAGGCTAGCAGCTATCTCCTTGAGCATCCTCCACTGGGTAACCCAGTGTTCCCAGAGGTTGACTTCAGCAACTGAGGCTCCAGCCACTGGCAGTGAATGAATGAATGAAAGGCAAGAAACCGTAACAACTGAGATAACAGGCAGCATAATTTGTCTAACTTGAGTGAGCGCCTGGGGTCTGAGTGACAGTGCCCTGGCACGGTTTACATTTGAAATTCATGGTGTGTTTATGCAGGGAAAATATGTGGAACGTTTTGAAGCTCTTTTCATGGTCTCCTTCAGTCAATTTTGCTTCCCTTGTCTACTGCTGTAGAGCTAAAAGGTAAAGAAATGAGGCAGGAGCAGAGGTTTTTCCAGTTTATAGCCGTTCAACAACACACAAACCCTGGCATGAGTTCTGAAGGTACAGAACCTGCTGGAAGCAGATTTGACTTAATATATTGTAATTTGCTTAGGGAATTCTCTCTGTTGTTCCATCAACCTTGGTTCTTACAGGGGACAACAGCACCAGATGAAACACTTGGCTCTTTGCAAGGGTATAATATCCTAAATGAGTAGTCTTTGAAAAATTAAGTCTGGCAGTGATTTCTGTTTCTGAAATGCTGTTTCTGGGTTTGTTTTCAGTGTCAGCTTTGTCCTCGATGTAATTTGTTTTGCATTTCTTTTTGTGAGCAAAATGGTGAAGTAACAGAGCCCTTCTGATGCTCCCGGATTTGGCTTCATTGCAAGGATTACCTGTTGGCTGCGAATTTTAGCAACTGACTTGCTCACACTGGGAAATCAGGTCCAAATCCTTGTTGTGTGACTGATTTTTATTGAGTAGTTTTCCTGCTGAGCTGGATGTGATTCTGCATGGAATGAGGCACTGCTCAGCCTGAGGAACCTCATCTGGCCTTTCTGCCTCTGCCGTTTCTCAGTTAATCTAGCTAAGGCTGAAACATCCCAGACAAAGAGTTGCTGTTTCTAAACAACTCCTTGCTCATCTGACTCATCTTGGAAGAACCAGATGCACCGGGTCTATGGCATTAAGTTGGTTGCATGTGTGTGGTTGACCCGAGGTGCTCAGGACGGATCTGTTGTACATGCAGATCCATTGCACTGGACTCTGTGTGGCTCATGGTCATCCAGGAACAAGTACTGGTCATTGCTTTCTGGCCTGAAACCACTTCTTTTACTGTCTCTGTCAAGGAAGAACAACTCCCTTGGCTTTAACCCATCTTCATTTGTTATTTTCTGCAAGTCCTTTAGAAGGATCTCAGGACTACGGGTGATTTGGTGAGGGAATATACTGAAGCATCTTTCTTGAACCATGAGTTGAACTGCTTGGTGTGTCTGCCCATCAGTCCCTACCCTAAAAAGTTTTTAAGCCACTGGTCAGTGCCAGTTGAATCTAATAATGAAATAGAGACCCCAGAGAGGGTTTTTTTTCCTCCAATCTTTAGGGAAATAGGCAACCAGCAGAGAACCATAGAATCCCAGACTGGTTTGGGTTGGAAGGGACCTTAAAGCTCCTCCAGTTCCAACCCCTGCCATGGGCAGGGACACCTTCCACTGGAGCAGCTTGCTCCAAGCCCCTGTGTCCAACCTGGCCTTGAACACTGCCAGGGATGGGGCAGCCACAGCTCCTCTGGGCAAAGAACAACTTTATCCAGTGAAAAAGCTACAGACTCCATTCAGTGTGTTTAGAGATCGAGACAAATACCAGTAGGTTCTGCGCATCACAGACCTCTTTGCCATGTGTCCTCCTCCCAGCACTTTTGGTCAGACACAGTCTTGCCACTTTGGTTAAGTAAGAAATCACACCAAGTCTTAGAGGGTTGCATGGACTGGAGGAAGAGGCTGTTGAGGTTTTGTCATACTCCTCTTTTCTTGATGCTTCCCAAGAGCCTCTGTGGAAAAAACTGGAGGCAGGGATGGGATGGGATGGGGTGGGATGGACCTTTTGATCTGACTGCTGCAAAGAAAGGTACGGCTTAGTTTAATGCAGCCATAAGCCATGGCTGGAAAATGCTGCTGTTGTAATTGTGGCAATACAGTCTACATGTGTGTGTAGATGCCCACATTTTGGTGTAAAAATGTGTGTGCTTTTACACCCCACTAAGGTGTACTGAAAAGAGTCTGTGTCTTAAAAAAAATAGTGTAGTGTGAAAAGAAATCTGTGAAAAACAGGAAGGCTGAAATAAACCAAGGGTCTGCGACCTGTGTTGACACAATTATGAGTCAGTTCATACCTTTTGGTTCCCTCTGTGTTTACAGGAGACTCTGTGTTTGACTATCCATCATCTGGTGTCTTACTGAAAGCCGTGCTTAGTAAAGCCCTTTTTTCCCTTCCTTCTTGTGCATAGAAATGAAAAAAATAAATCAAAACACCCGAGAGAAACACTGGTTTTTGATAAATAAACAAACTCTGGAAATGTCTTTATTAAAAGCACTATTTAGCCAAAGAGCTGTTTTGTTGGATTGCACTTGAAAGCAACTTCTTTTCTCCTTTCTTTTTTGTCCAAAGTACACAACGCCGTTTGCAGGGGAGTTCAGTGGCTGTCATTGTGTGCTAATCATAATTAAATAGGCAAGTGGGACTGGGATGCTGCACTAATACCTTTACAGGGCTCTGAGGGAAGCTTCTCTATGTATACTTGTATATTATGAATGCCTAATACACATTTCTATTTGTAGCCCTCTTCCCAGCTGTATTTCATTGAATCATAGAATGGTTGGGGTTGGAAAGGACCTTAAGATCATCTAGCTCCAACCCTTCTGGCTGCACTTAATTGTATTAAACCATCTAGCCCTTTCCAGGATAATACTGGCATTAGTGACCGTCTCAATTGGTGAAGATTGGTGTTTGAGACACAAGTGACAATAACTCATGAGATGAATGCTGCTAGTAGACGGTGTTCTGCTATCACTAAAATCCACAGATTATGCCTTAGCAAGAGAGATGCTTCAAGGGAAGGGAAAATATAGTAAGGCACAGCTTTAAAAATTCCTACATTTGACAAACGCTGCATGAAGAGATGCCACAGGTTAGGGATACCCACTAGTTTAAAGGCCATCAGTAAACACGAATCTGAGAAGAAGTTGTAATTTTAAAGGGCAGAGTGTCTTTTTGATGATAAAAGATTCTGGATGTCTGTAAATATTTCTGAATGACGCAAACGGTTCTGTTGGTTAAAAGCGTGGAATTTTTATTTATTTTGCTGAGACCCATTCTGTGCTTTTTTCTTCCATAAAAAACCTGCTTGGGTGAAAGAGTCGATTATTCTGATCTTTGGCAAATTTTCTTTCGCAACTGTCCAACTGCTATATAATAAATCAAGACTTTCCCCCCCCTCCTAAACTGAAGGTTGTGGGGAAACTGCCACAGAATGTGGCTGCTGTTTGTTGCATAGAGTGGTTTGTTGCATTATTGCAGAAAACTTTAACTCCTTCAGTAAAGCAGTTGCTGGTTGTGCATTGTGCTTATGTAGAAGGGAGAACTCTGATGATTTCCCTTGTTAAACATTTATGTTATAGAATCACAGAATAGTTAGGGTTGGAAAGGACCTTAAGATTGTCTAGTTGCAACCCCCTGCCATGGGCAGGGACACCTCACGCTAAACCATATAAATCATATTCACTGAGACATCACAGTCAGAAATATCAGCCCCATTAATACAGATTTGGCCACGGTTGGTTTAAAAAGAGAAAATCAAAACCCCTCCCTGTGCTGTTTAACCTCTTAAGTGACATTTGCGTCCCATTTATCAAGGGCAGAAGGAGCTTGAACTTCCAAATGCTTTTCAGCGATGTTAAAAATACACTTCTTCTTGAGAAACTCTTTGTAGAGGTGGTGAACAGAGTAAGTGGGACAGAATTGAAGCCACAGAGTTCACATGCTCGCTTTTTTACAAAAGCTGGCCCCTTTTCCTCTGTTTTGTGTTGTACTTCTTCAGACATGATCAAGACCTTCACCTATATGATTTTATTTCACTCGCTTTACACTTCATCTACCTGGAAGCATATTGATAGTGCAGGCTCTGCAATGGGATTCAGACCCACCTAAATGAGGTTTTTGAGCCACCAGCATGGGCACTGGTAACAATCAAGAAGCACTAATATGGACATGAGAAAGATGCTCAAGTATTCATCCAGCTTCCTGGGAATGCTTTGCAGCCTGCACTGAGCTCCATCCTGTGGCAGAAAGACTGCTACTATCCCCCAGATATCTCATTTAGAGGGCACCCCTGCTCTGCTCCATGGTGCTGGGGCATGTGTCATGAATTCCC